TTTTTATGCACTAATGGACTTTCCTTGCCTCCCCCCAGGGAATCCCTGGGGAGCCAGGACCCCCGGGACAGCAAGGGAACCCCAGTTCGCAGGTACGTGGAGGTGACGGGGGTGTCCCCGTGGGGCTGGGGGCTGGGGTGCTCCCTCAGTCCCTCCTCAGCCCCCCATGTTTTCTCTCCTAGGGTCTGCCCGGCCCCCAGGGCCCCGTCGGGCTGCCGGGGGAGAAGGTGAGTCAGGATCTCCCATGGATGGGGGGGGTCCGGAGCTGCCCCAGCTCTGAGTGGGTGCTGGGGAGCCACAGGGGGTGACCCCGGTCCCTCTGTGTCCCCAAATGTCCTTCTCTCTCCCAGGGCCCACCGGGAAAACCGGGAATACAGGGTGTTGCTGGGGCCAACGGGCCCCTGGTGAGTACCGGGGGGGGTCTGTGGGGTCACTCCTGTCCCCAACAGAGTGGGGACTCCAGGACGGTGTCACCATCCCAGCTCAGGGCTCACCTCTTGCGTGTCCCCACAGGGTCACCCTGGCCGAGAAGGGCCAGCTGGAGAGAAGGGCCTCCAGGTAAGGGGGCTGACACCCCCCCCACCCCTGCCCCACACCCTGGGTGGGGAAAAGGGGTTCTCTTTCCAAGGAGGGGGTGTCCCATTTTTGCTGACTCTCTCTCTGTCCCCAGGGCCCTGTGGGTGCCCCTGGTCCTGTCGGTTATCCGGGACCCCGTGGGGTGAAGGTAAGCACAGCCTTCCCTTTCTGTGGGGCTCTGCCAAGGCACGATTTTGGGGGGGCCAGTGGGGTGTCCCCCAAGCTGGGGTCTCCCCTCTGACCCCTCTGTGTCTCTGCAGGGAGCTTTTGGCGTGCGGGGCCTGAAGGGCAGCAAAGGGTAAGAGATGTGGGGAGAAAGTAAGAGATGTGGGGAGAAGGGACAGCAGGAGATGGGGGTCCTTGTCCTGTGGGTCAGGAGTTGGAGGGGGGGACACTAGTCCTTGCCTTGGGGACTTGTGGAGGGGGGGACGCCTGGGCTGCAGCTGGGGGCAACCCCTCTGTGTTGGGATTTGGGGCTCAGCCCCACACTGTGACCCCATGTGGGGCTTGCAAGACCCCCCCCCCAAAATGTGCTGCTTCTTCAGGGAGAAGATGGATTCCCTGGTTTTAAGGGGGACATGGGCCCCAAGGGTGACAGGGTAAGTGGGGTGCTGGGGTTGGGGGGCTCTTTCTCGGGGCTGTGTGGGGTGGCTATGGGGTTTTTGCTGCAGGATTTGGGGTGATGTTGGGGGAGGGGGAATGGAGCAGGGGAGGGGACACAGCTGTGGCCATGGGGACAGCCAGGAACCTGAGGGAGAGGTCCTGTCCCCCCGGCAGCGTGCTCCCCGTGTCTCCATGTTACTGTTCCAGGGTGACCAGGGCCTGCTGGGCCCCCGCGGCGAGGACGGGCCCGAGGGGCTGAAGGGACAGACGGGTCCCGTGGGGGAATGGGGTGCTCCCGGCCCCGCGGGCGAGAAGGTGAGGGGAGCCCTGTGTCCCCCTGTCCCCGTGTCCCCCTGTCCCCATGTCCCTGGTAGCCCCTGGCTCATCTCTGCTCTCTCCCTTCCAGGGCAAGCTGGGGGTGCTGGGTCTCCCAGGTTATCCCAGGCGCCAGGGTCCCAAGGTGAGCACGGGGGAGCTTTTGGGGTGTCCCCAGGACCCCAAGTGTCTCACAACCCTGGATTGTCACTTGTCCTCTCTCTCCTTAGGGCTCCAATGGCTTCCAGGGTCCCATGGGGCTGGCGGGAGAGAAAGGCAAGAGGGGGAGTGAGCCCTGGCCCGTCGTGTCACCCTGTCCCATCCCTCTGGGCCGTTCCCTGTCCCCCACATCTCACTGTCACCCCCCTCTGGGCCATTCCCTGTCCCCCACATCTCTGTCACCCCCTCTGTGACCCATAGAGGGGCTGAGCTGAGCTGGGAAGGGGGGGCCCAGCCCCGTGCCCCTCTCTAGTCCCATGCTACGTGCCTGCAAACCCCCTTGGGCACTCTCTGCCCCCTTGGGGGGGGCATGTAGGGGGACCATGGGGAATTGGGGGGCTGCCCCATGCACTGCTCTCCCCACAACCCCCCTTTTTCCCCACAGGGCAAGGCTGGGCAGGCTGGGCAGACGGGACAACGAGGGCCCCCGGTGAGTAACCCCGAGCTTGGGGGGTGACAGGAATTCCCCGGTGACAGCCTCGGGGCCGGCTGTATCCCAGTGTGACCATCCTGGAGTCCAACTAAATCCCACCACAACCATTCCCGGGTGGATTGTATCCCACGGCAACCATCCTAGGG